AAGAAAGGAGTAATATACTTAAAGATATTAAGAAATAAATATTATTATATAAGTAATTAATATAAATATATATAATATAATAATTTAAACTTAAGATAATAAAATAATCTATATCCTTTTCTATATACTTAATATAAAGTATAACCTTAAAATTATAAGTAAGAATATACTTAGATTTCTAAATATATTTATATATTAAGTTAAATTTCTTTTATTTAGAAATATAACTAAATATCTTATTAATATATATATAATATAAATAAATATAAAGCTAAGTATATATTAAAAATAATAAAGTATAATAAGCTAGCCTTAAAGATAAGATTAATAAGGAAGGGGTATTATATTATAAATAAAGGCTTTTATTAAACTATAGGAAGTTATATATAAAGTAAATTAATAAGCTTTACTTTAGAGATTAATAAAATTAATCTATTACTTTAGTAAAGTAATAGCTTAATAATAAGATAATAATAACCTTACTATATATATATATTTATTTCCTAAATAGAAATACTCTCTTAAATAGTTATTAATATAATTACTATTACTTTTATTAAAACTAGCTTTTTAATACTTATATATTAATAATAACTTATATAATAATAAGATAATCTAATTACCCTTTTAGGATAATACTCTAATTAATTATATCCCTAACTTACTTTAAACCTTTATTTAATATAAGTCTATTAACTATTATATATAAATATATATAAGTAACCTTTCTTATATTATTATTAAATATAATAAGGAAATAATTAAAGTATACTTTAAGTTAAATAATAAACCTTTATAATTTAGCTTAAGTTCTATTAAATAGCTTAAGTATTAATAGCTTAAGTAATTATTCTAGCTCTCTTTCTTAAGTAATAATAATAGCTTAAGCTTAAAGATTAATATTTATAATAGCTTATTATTTTATTAAGTTTATTATAGTAGTTAAGTTTCCTTAAAGTTTAATAAAGTAAGCTTAAAGTTAAATAATCTATTTATAAAGAAATTAAACTTTTAAATTAATATTTTTATCTTCCTTATTATTATTATTATTATTACTATCTTTATTTATAGTATCTATAATAATAGCTTAATTAATAATAATAGTAAGTATATTATTTTAATAAGTAGAAAGAATTATAGTAACTATAATATCTTTTATTTATTATATAGTAATTAAGATAAAGTAATTATCTAAATAAGAGTTATTAATATATAATAATTAGTAGACTTATACTAAATAGGGGTTTAAGGTAAATTAGAGGTATAATTAATTAAAGTATTATTCTAAGAGGGTAATTAAGTTATCTTAATACTATATAAGTTACTATTAATATATAAGTATTAAAAAGCTAGTTTTAATAAAGGTAATAGTAATTATATTAATAACTATTTAAGAGAATATTTCTATTTAAGAAATAAATATATATATATACTAAGTAGCTTATATAGGCTTACTAATAATCTAGAGTAAGTTTATCCTTAGATTATAAAGGCTTACTAATAATCTAAAGTAATCTATTCTTAATTAGCTTAAGATAAAAGAAAAAGTAAGGTATAATATATAATTCTTTATAGTATATATTAATTTATAATATAGATTTAACTTAGTTTCTTATTATAAAAAGAATATTAAGCTTAAATAAATTTAATAATTATAGCTATTAAATATATTATATTATAAGTAATTTTATTATTATAAGAAGACCCTTAATTATTAAGAGCTATATCTTTAATAAGCTTAAAAGAAAACTATATAATAAAGTTATATATATAGCTTAATTATAAAATACCTTTTACTTATAGAAATAAATAAATAAATAACTATGAAATAACTAACTTAAAACAACTAATAGAACCTATAACGTCCTCGGGCGTCCGTAATAGGCTTAAACCAAGAGGGGATGGTAGCTCCCTCCACCGCTCCATCCTTGGGATCAATACCCTTCACCGTAGATGTGCCCACGATCTCTCTTCTCATCCCTCTCGTCGACATCTCCCGTCTGCTCTTCCTCGCAGCTCCAAGGTCAGACGGTGGCTCTAGTCTAGCAATAAGCAGGTAAGACATACCATGTAGCATAAAAATATCATCTCCCCTCTGGACTCCAGCCACACCCACTCCGGTCAGCCCGACTAGCCCGGTCTCGGTCAGGAAGAGCTCACGCCCCGCCAGTGCTTCGACGACACATTGCAGGCCTGTGTGCACGTCGTATTTGATCGGACGTGAGGGCTGCCGCCACCGTGTCAGGGTACCAAAAGGGTGGCCGTCCTCAAAGTGCGGGAAGCCCAAAGACGATAGATCTCCATTGTACGCCACCCTTTCTTCGCCTTGCCACCCCTCGCTTAACGCGTCACTAAGCCAGGCCGCCGGAATCGTGCAAGCGATGTGCTGCGGCTTTTCAGCCGATTCCCTTCCCGCTTCTTGCGGAACAACCTGTGCATCCACGGCCTTGAAAACAGTGTCTCCTTCCAGGCCAATCATGGTCGCCATGGCCTTGTGAATCTTTGCCGCCAGGTCTATCACAAAACCCTCTCCAAAGTGTGTCTCGAGAGGGTGGCACGTACCGTTCTCGATGGCCTTTAGGTACCTTCCATACACCACGGGCGCGTGTGTAGTGCCACATTCCGAGGTTCGCTGTCGAGGACCAAGACGCTCCTGCAAGTACTCATAGCCAGGCATTTGCCCTATAGTGTCCGCAATTTTCTGTGCCGATACGATGCAGAGCCTATGAAGTACCTGCGCGCGGAGGTTATGATAGTCAAAGGCGCATATGCCGACAAAGTCTGTCCAGGTTGGTGCCATGGCCAGGAAGTCGAACAGCTCAAAGAGACGCTTCCCTATCTGTAGAATGTAGCCTTTACGGTCCATGCTAGGAATTCCGCCAGAATCGCTCGTTGATACGTGCAGAGCGCTAACGGCTGGTGCAAGGCCTGACGCATCTTCTCGATCTGATCCTTCGTAAGCCCGTCCCGTTGATTCCTCATCACCGCGCTGTTCTTTGCCCATGATGGCATCGACAATGGATGGAATCTTGTCCAAATAGCTCCGAAGAGACTCGGCTAGCAACTGTTGTAGCTTTGCGAGTTCCCCGATGATTTCGACTATGGAAACATCGATGGTAGGGTTGGAGGCACCCTGAGTCGCCCAAGCAATGCTCGGATACGCAGTTATGCCATTCAAGGCTGTCAGCATCTTATATAAGGTCTCCCTCTGCTGCTCGTCGTCTCTGTGAAGATAGCCGGGGTCCATATATAACCGCTCGACATACCACAACTGTTGCAGAAGCAAGAACGGGTCGTGGGAGGGCAGAGGGAAAACTTCAACGATCTCGTCAAGTAGTAGACCGCTCATGAACAGCACGCGGTCGAATATGTGTGGGCCAAGCTCCCAATCCCCAGACTTCAGCGTAGCATGAGACGGCGATGGCTCAGCGGCTGTTGGGGCGCGTGGTCTCGTAAAGTCAGGTACCCATGAAGGCACGTCGACCTCCTCTCTAGTCTCTAACTGTGCCTCACCTTCCAATAGACTATCTCGGAGGCGGTGAGGGAAGTACCAAAATATATTCGTGTTCATATCCGCCACCAGGACGTAAACTGCAAGACGGGTGAACAGCGTCGAAATTGGTATTGTATAGTCTGGTGGGAAGAGGCTCCGGAACAGGGGGTCCATGAGTTCGCGTAGGCCATACACAGCGTCGTGAGGTATTGTACATTGAGCCTGCATGCCCATTGACGAGAAGATTGGCAACGATGCCGTCGAACAGTAGTAACGCCAGTTGAGGACATGGTTGGTTCTCCAGACTCGCTGACCCCACGCGGACCACTCCCGTTCCAAGGACCCTTGCTTGGGAAGCAAGGATCTTGCGTCTTTTTGATCCGTAAACTTGAGAACGCCGCATTCTTCCGCGTTGCGTTGCTCTTCACCTTCCCTTTCAAGATCACAATCCTGGATCTCTATCGCGTCTTTGTTGGGAATAATAGTTATGCTGCACGCCGGGTGAGGGCAATTCTTCAACGGAGTGTTATGTCGCTTACGATGTTCTACCCAGTCGTACAGCCTGCTGAAGTTCTTGGCCAGGACTGCGTTGGCTATTTTAAGCCGTCCGCAGTAGAAGACCGGGTCGCGTTTGTTCAGTGTGTATTCTTGTAAAACCCAGACCCTCGTCCACCACGTTCTCGTGCAGAGGTCGATGAGCCCCTCGATCAGATCTGGCCCAGCATCATGGCAAATCTTCCAGAAGCCTGGATCTGCCGCTCCGTCGTAATAGTTGCCGCGTTCGTGTTCGTAGTCTCGTTCGTCTTGTTGGTGTTTTTCTTGCCTGGCATCATCATCGGTGTTTTCTAGGAGATGCTGTAATGTGCTGAAGAGGTGAACTGATGAAGGTGTAGACGAGCCGAGATATACCAGAACCCTGTGCGCCTCAACATATATCCTAGCCATGAGTTCGACCTGCTGACTTCGCTCTTCGTCATCGGCCTGATTGATGCAAATCGAGTCGACCCACAACGTCCTGGGGTAATGGGCATGCCGAAGTGAGGACAGAGCGCCATGTAGATTCGGAGTCACAGCCCGTTTGTAGCCGTTTACGTGTATATGATACTTTTGCCCCTCACCAGCCTGAGACATTTCGCCCCACGCGTAGGAGAGGGCTTCATAGAAAGGACGATCATCGGAGTCCAAGTCTGCCGTAAACAGCTTCGTCAAGACCGGCTCGTTCTCGTTAACACTGGGGAGAACTTCTAGGAGGCGTATGAGAGAGCTGAATGTTGAGACCTCAAGTGACTTGTAGGGTTGAAGATAGCGTCCCAGAGTCGTCTGTCTGGTGCCACACCTAGTTCTCCCATCGAGATTCCGTGGTAATGCGATATTGAGTACCATGCGGTAGACATCTTGGAGATAATCATCAACCGTGTCGCAGGGACAATTATCCAAGTCTGGGGGCTCTGGGAAGTCCAAGCTCAGCAGCTCTATAAATAGTACAATAGTACAACACAGTTTCAGTACAGTTTGTGGAGTTGTTTACATTGAGAAATATCGACTTACTGATGGTCCGGAGACTCTCTTTATCTAAGCTATAAAAGTAGTCGATAGATGGTATAATGAACTGACGGATGGCATCTAAGCGTCTCTCCTGTTGGCGTACCCTGCAATACTGATCCCACGCTGCCCAGCCGGACCACCGTTCACGCTTGGGTCCAGACGGAGGGGGGTGTGGAGGAACTTCTCCCTTTCCCAACTCAGTCGTGTCTGTTGCCATAGTCCGTCCACGAGGGGGAAAGTGTTAAGGCAGGGTCGTCTTTAATTTTAATGGCCGAATGTGTTAGTTATTTATTCATGCCGGATGATCAGGCTTGGCAGGGATGAGATTCCTTCTCATCATATGACATTAGGCCGTCTCTGCCTAATGGTTGATCCACATCTTGACAAAGGTGGCAGTGCTCGGTCATTCCGCCGTTGATTTTCTCCCATGAAAGATGAGAATTCTACAGAGGTGGAATATCTCCAATCACTGCCTTTTCTAGTACGCCATGGAGCCTGCTAGCTTTGCAGTAGGCATCGTAGGACTTGCAGGCCTCTTTAGTTCCTGCTTAGAGGCTATTGACAGAGCGAAGGACTACATGTCATTTGAGACGGACTCTCAAGCGTTGAATGCCCAGTTTGAGGCTGATCGCCTGCGCTTCGAACGCTGGGGCAACAGCGTTGGGCTCGGTCCGGGCGGACAGCTCTCGGCCGAGCACCACAAGCTTCTCGATGATGAACGAACAGCCGCGACAGCGATGGGACTTCTCAAATTCATCAACGAGGTCTGTAGCCCACATGGGGTCTCACAACAGGAAGCGGCTGGTGACAGGGCGATGCCGTGGGCTCGCAAGGGTTTCGGTCCCGTCAGCGCACAAGCCCTTCAGAGCACAGTTGGCGGATCGAGGAGACGCAAGCTTACTTGGGCATTCGGGGGAAAGGGAGAGCGGAAGTCTCAGGTCGAGCTGTTTCGGAGATCGGTGCAGCAATTGCACGAGTTGGTCGCTCCAGGATCTATGGATCCTTCCAACAAAATGATGCACGCCGAGTCACAGTCGAGCCATGAATGGCTTGTGCAAATTCAACAATTCCTAGCTGAGAAAGAGGGTGAGGCTTCTGTTCTGCCGACAATGAAGGACATTTTTGCTGACGCTAAATAAGCCGAGATTCGACGAGAGGTTCACCGCTGGCTCGTTGGTGATTGTCGTCCAAACGACGTCTACGATGAGTCCCTCCATAGAAAATTGACTGGTACTTGCGACTGGATGCTTCATCAACCAAGTTTCACTCGCTGGGTCTCACCAGACTTCCCTACAGACAGGGCTAAGTTACTTTGGATGTCAGGACAACCCGGCTTCGGGAAGACGGTTTTATGCGCGCATCTTGTTGACCACCTGTCTTCAACTCTCGACGCCCCTGTCAGCCACTTCTTCTTCTCGTCTGATCATGAGAGTCGTAATGACCCGTACGAGGCCATGCGCCATTGGGTCTCTCAGATTGTAGGAGCGGACCATAGAGCGTTTGCGTTGGTTCGCCAAAAATGGCACACGACCCAAGAACCGATTGCCCCGCGACTCACCATCATTCAACTCTTGCGCGAGATCATGCGCGATGTACCGGGTTGCACGCTTGTCGTTGACGGTATCGATGAGTGTACAGCACTGAGTGACTCTTCTCGTTCCGTGGCAAGATTTCTTGAAGACGCCCAGGAACTGGCCAGCAGTACAACACGCATCTTAGTGGTCAGCCGGGATGAGGCTGAGATCAGACAGACCCTCCAAGAAAGCTCTCACTGCACCTTCAACGAGTTTAAGATACGGTCCGAAGACGTGCGTGCCGATACTGCGGCTTATTCACAGTTGATTGTAGATAGGAGGCTCAAGGCCATGCGCGAGGAGGATAAGGCGAGTCTTTCAGAAATGATGATGGAACGATGCGGAGGACAGTTCCTCTGGCTCAAGATGCAAGAGAAAACGCTCAAGGGATGGATGAACAAGCGACAACTCGAGCGAACCATTAATACAACCCCCTCTGGACTCGACCACCTCTACGAAAGGCATTGGACCCGGATCACCAGAAGCGAACTAGAAAGAGACCGGGCTTTCTCATTGCTACGCTGGGCGGCCTTTGCGATTAGGCCCTTGACCGTTGGCGAGATAATCGAAGCAGTGCTCATCGACGAGGACAACGATTGTGTCCGGTTCGATGATCTTCCCGATGTCATCAGCGACGAGTTCATCAACGACGAAATCCTTCATCTATGCAGCCCACTCTTAGAACTGGGCGACCTTCTCCCAAAGGCGTCCTCCCCCTCACACCGTACAGTTCAGCTTGCTCACTTCACGGTCAAGGAGTTCCTCGTTCACCGCCTTCCTATCAGAGACATAGGGACGAACGGAGACCTACAAACGTCTCTTGAACAAAGGCAACATACCTTGCTAGCAAGACTATGCCTATGCTATGTCCGTTCTCACCAGACATGGTGCGACGCAACCACAAACCCAACGGGGAACCACCCCCAGGCCAATTTTCGACGTTATGCAGCATCATCATGGTACGCCCATGCAGATTTCGGTGTTCCGTTGGAGATGGACGAGGGCACGTTGGAACGCATACTCGAATTTATGGACGAAGCTCACCCTTCTTGGAACTCGTGGAGAGCTTGGTTTGATGCACAGAACGAGGAAGAGGCAGAATATGCAGAGGACGAGACCACGACCCCGGGACCTATCTACTATGCCGTGAGACTGGGGCAGACAACTGTTGCCCTTCGGCAGATCAATTCCCGAAGCTGCATTGAAGAGCAAATCGAAGGGAGGAGGTCACCCTTACACCGCGCATGCTTTGACGGCAATATGGCCATTATCGAGGCCATGTTTGAATCCGGTGCTAGCATTACAGCTCGAGACATCAGAGGAAGAACCCTCGTCTATTCAGCGTCGTGGAATGGCAAGGTAGAAGTAGTGAAGACGCTTCTCCAAAAAGGGGGGCAGCAACAACTGGATGCTGTTAATGACTACGGCTGGACACCAATCAACGTGGCAGCTGATGGTGGCCATCTTGAGGTAGTCAGGCTACTAGTTGAGAAGGGGGCCGATTTGACGATTGCTCAAACGGCTGGCTGGACACCTATACACTCGGCTGTAACCGGCGGCTACGATGACGTGGTCGAGCTGCTGGTCCGCAGTGGCGCTGATATCACCACAGCTGACTCTGATGGATGGACACTCCTTCATAAGGCCGCGAAAAACGGTAACATTGAATTAGCAAAGCTTCTCATGAGTAATGGGGCTGATGCCGCGGCGAAGAATGACTGTGGGTGGCCGCCCCTGTTGATAGCTGCAGAGATGGGCCACTGTGAGGTGATTCAGATGCTAATTGACAAGGGAGTCAACACGATGGTGGCCCAGAATGATGGATGGACGCCACTTCATGTGGCTGCAGGCAATGGTCACCTTGAAGCGGCCAAACTGCTCATTGACAGCGGGGTTGACATCACGGCAGCCAGCAACATTGGGTGGACACCAATCAATGCTGCAGCAGCTCACGGCCACCCCAAAGTAGTCAAGTTGTTACTCGACATGGGGGTGGATGTCGAGGCGATTGACAAGAGTGGATGGACGCCGCTAAGAGCTGCTGCAGTTAATGGTCAAATCGAAGTCGTTAAGTTCCTTATTAGCAGGGGGGCTCGCATCACGGATGCTAATGAAGAGGGATGGACCCCGATCCTCATGGCAGCGTCTAATGGCCATCTTGATGTAGTCAGGCTACTGATTGACGAAGGAGCTGATGCCAATGTGGCTAACAAACAAGGCAAGACACCAATGCGGGTGGCAGCTGAACATGGCCATCAAGAGGTACTCCGATTACTCGCGGACAGGGGAGTTAGTATTACACCAGCTGGTGATAGTGAATGAATCTGGGATTGTGTCGTCTTGATCCCCTCGTTTGTCCCACTGATAATGATACGCTATAGTTTATCTTTCAAAAGTGGCTTGTGATTTCGTGATTTAAATTAATGCGTCTAGGGAAGGTGAGCTCCGTCACGTCAATGTTTCATTTAACAGCGTCTTGTTAGAGCCCGGAGGCAATCCATAGCTGTCACAGAATGGTTAGCAGTCGACGCTTACGTATTGTTTGTCTACGGAATTACAAGGTGTGTATTGCGTAGAGCGACAAGTCATAGGCACACGTAATGAGATGTGAATTAGCGTTATTAGTGAGTAAATACTTTTTGCACGAAGCTGCTTTTAGCTAAAGTTGAAGATTCAAGATTAAAGGTTAAAGTAATAGATATTCCTTATATCTAAAGTTAAGTTATTATAGAAATCTACCCCTATCTAGAAGAATAAGTAGGATAGCTAGTAGTACTAATATATTGAGAGGAAAAGAAGCAGAAGGGATCAGGGTTCAATAGAAGATAACCTTAATAGTATTACTTCTTATCTCTTAAAAACACAGTGAAAGAGAACACAGTGAGAGGATCCTGCGCCACATTCGCCCAACACCGCTGGGCAGTTCACCAGTCGCCCAACATGCCGCCATTTGAACCACAGTATGATGGTTCGCTTCCTGATTCCTGGAGCAACATGGAGCAGCGCTTACCTACAGTACATCACGGCGATTAGGGCGGCAGGGAGGAGGGCGCTACTGAAATAGTGTCAACCAGCCTCAAGCCGCTTACCGAGTGCCTCTCTCAGGCCGAACCGAAATCTTCGCGAGATCCCTATATACGCTCCCAAAGCAACAAAAAGTTTAACTACACGTTTTGTTGTTTCAAAAATGGCATGAAAAGTCAGGTTACAAAACCTAGTGATTAACCGAGTCTATCCAATATATTCCAGTGGGGGAAAGACGACGAGCGGCAAAAGACCGACGCCGCCGACGCTCAACCATTAATAAGATTCCCATCAAAGTTGGTAGATGTTTTTTTTTGCTTTCTAGATCCGTATAAGGCAATGCGGCACATTATATTAGACCATCTGACGATTATATAGTTAATCGTCTCCTACCTTCAAGGGGTGTATCGCCCTATATACTGACTAGCTGTATAAAGAGCTTGCTTGATGTGTTGCCTTATCTATCTCTTCTTCTATTATAGAAGAGAGTTCGAGTATAAAGTTAAATAATAGTAGAAGATACTAGATCTAATATCTTAATATAATAAATATAAAAGATGAAAAAAAAAAGCGTTATTAGCCTAAGACTATAGTTATATAGAAGGAAAAGTCTATAAATCTTTATATTAATAATTTACTTACTATTAAAATGAGCTATTTATTAAATAAATATTTAAGTTATCTTCTTTTATTTAAATACTTTAATATATTAAATTTAAAGCTTTTTAATACTTAATCTAGTAAGTATTAATAATCTTTTAGCTAAAGTATTTATATTAATATATTTATAACCTTAATATATATATTATACTAAATAATATAATCTTAATACTATCTCTTAAAGATAATATTTAATATAATAAAACTTAATATTAATATTAATAATCTAAAGTTTATAAGTTTTATAAAGATTATTTTAATTATTTAAATTAATTAAATTAAGTTAAATAAGCTATTTATTAAGTAGATCTTAATATTATTTAGTTTTAGCTAAGATATTCTTAGATATATATCTAAGGATAAGCTTAATATTAATACTACCTTAATATTAAAGAGTAAGAGGTTAGAGTAGCAGGTATTTCTAGTACCTAACGCTAGATCACTATAGATGTCTGCTATCATCCAAACTTCTTCTATTACAAGGGACCCTCAACATGATTACATCCAAGCTTGCTAGTCACCATTTATCGCCCGTTCACTAAGGCTTCCTGTCCCGAACCGAAGCGCCCAAGTTCTCGAATTGTCCCCTAGTATTCGACCCAACTGTTCGAGCGATATATGCAACTGAAAGAAGAGTTCCATCGTGTCGCCCTTGAAGAATGATAGGTCACCCTTCCCTGAAAAATCGGACCTTTGTTGAAAACACCAAGTAATTGCTCTCGACTTGGACTTGTTCTCAGTGCAAAAGTATTCCTCGTCGCATAGACGGGCCAACTTCTCCCTGGCTATTCGGTGGTCGTCGGATCCTAGTTGTGCTAAAACGGACAGACTGGCGCCATTCTGAACAAGAATATGCAGACAATCGATGACTGTGTTTATTTCCCTTATTGTAGTCTTCGTTTGAGGGACGTTGTCTAGGACCTGGTGGATTGTAATGTTTGCCTTCGCCAGCATGCCTGAAGTTAGGGGACCCAGCGAGCTGATGAGGGCACTAAGTGCCTCGGTGTTACCTACGATACAGGCGTACAGGATATATTTGAAGGGGTCTATGTCTGGTGCGTCTCTTAAAGGCTTATGCTCTAGTAACGCCTCGAGAATTCCGATGGCTGGTTGCATCAAGTGTATTGCCAACCCCAGAGGAGTAAACGGAGTTTCGGCCACGGGGTTAGTGAACACCGATGGACCTAACTCCTGAAAAATGGAAGCTCCAGATTCGAGAAGAGTCCGAATGACGGAGAGCTTTCTCGATGTTTCCGTAGAAGCTTGCGTGATGATGCACTCCAACGGGTTGCGGCCACGATGATTGATATTGGGGTCAGCGCCCTGCTCTAGAAGGCGCGTCACGAGCTCTAAATCAACAGGGTGCCGGGAGAGGACAGCCAGCAGAGCCATTGGCTCCATGCGAGCAAGCAGGCCGCGCTCGTCAAGGTTGATGACACATTGGAGGTAAGCCTGATCCTCAAATCGTATAGCGATGTTCCAGAGGCTAAGGATGTCGTCATCCCCGTATGACCCCTTGGTAGAGTTCGAGACAAGATAGTTCAACTTGTCGAATTCGCCATTTAACAGGTGATAGTCTAGAGCAGTCTGATACGAGCGATCGCCGCAGGATGTGCCCCTCCATGGATTGGAGCCCAGCCCCAAGAGGAGATCTATTACTTCTTTCTGCAACTGGTCAGGCATGTGTTCTTCTTCATCATCGTAAGGGTCACCGAAACGGCAGATGAGAGCCCATAGCGGCGCTCTCGATTGAGCTCTCAGTTTGTTGACGGAAGCGCCAGAGCTGACCAGCAGAGTCACCATCTCCAATACCGGCTTCGCGTTACTCCACTCGCAAGCACGGGTCAGGGGCGTGCAAAGGTCCACGTCTGGGTTTCCATCGACATTTGCCCCAGCCTCAATCAGTCGCTGGGCTGCCAGTAAGTTACCGGAGCCAGCTGCATGTCCTAAGGCCGTATGGCCGGGTATAGGGGGGTCCCGTCGCCAGTACTGAGTTACGCTCCGGCGAAAGTCTAGTCCCAGTGCAAGGAAGTGTTTGAGCAGCTTTAGTCCGGCTTCGTTTATGGCGCGACTTTCTTTGCGTGAACCATCATGCGAGTTTGTATACCACGGAAGGAAGCAGAGCCTGTGAATCAAGGGTAGTCCGTTTTGAACCGCCTGGTCCGCAATCACCGGGTCAGCTCCGAGATCGAGGAGCCGGAGGGCGTCCTCGAACCTGCTTGGGGTGATTGAATCGGCGAGGATTGTTCCCTGTACCGAGTTGCGGTGGCGATTAAGGGTTCTGATATCAGGCCCATAGCCTTCTGTCTCCTCCCAGAAGGACACCCGGTTGTACCTGTTGATGTCCGCACCACTACGAATGAGACGCACGACGCAGTCCCAGTGACCAGCGTAGTAGGCATACAATAGAGCGGTCCTGCCACAGGCATCAAAGGCGTCCACGTCAATGTCCCTATCTGCATTCATCAGTATCCACCCGAGCATCTCAGACTGGCCAGATATGGAAGCGACGTGGATAGGAGTTAGCCCGCTATAGACTACATCCCGATATGGGTCGATGCTTTGCATCTCAATGCCGCCGCCTCTCGAGGAGAGGAGTTCTACTGTGTGGATATGCCCTGCACATATAGAGATATGATATGGCGTCCACCGTGGATCAGACAACGATTGATATCTGAAATCTGAAGTGATTTCGGGATCTATGTTATCCTGGATATCATAGCAGCTACAAACCCTGCATGAGCCGGCGTATAGATCGGCGCCGTAATCAAGTAACATCCCTATTATCTCTATATCGCCTAATAATGTCGCGAGGTGCAGTGGAGAACAATATGGCCGCGGATAGATAAGACTGAATTCGAACTGGACTCCTTCCGGCACAGTACCAAGGCACTCGTCAAATGTAGGGACTGCCGTGAATTTAGGCCCTGGCCTCGGGTCGAAATACACCCAAACCATGTTGGTATTCGCACCGGCTTCGAGAACATGCCTGAGCGCACCTGGGAGGCGGTACCGGATGGCCCAGAACATGGCTCTGAGATCAAATCCGTATTTGACGGCATGCTGGTACAGAAGATGATTGGTGATGCCATGCAGCCACCGGCAGGCTCTGCTCAGGGCAGCAATATCCCACGGGTATTCAAGCTGGTCAACAACAACCATCCAGATATCAGCCGAGAGTTCTACCGCGCCCTCTAGATTACACATGGTTGCCGCTGTTGACTGAGGTTGTGGAAAATACAGAGATGCTGACAGGGAAGAGGAGTCGGTGAGACTCATTCACTGCGACCCGTTTTATCGCCTCCGTCAGGCCGCAGGAAGTCACGTGCGAGGTGGTAGTATTTACTTATCTTTACTCCTTTAGGCTATATTATTATTTATTCTAATAAATTTATAAAATAGCTAGAATAATATTAAGAGGCTGCCTTCTTTCCTGGGAGAGAAAAAGACCTGACTTCAATCATAGCTTTTGAAAAACAGCAACTTATTATTATTTTTTTGCTTTCACCTCTACGAGTGATGCTTTAGAGAGCGTTTGCGGCTTCACACGGCCTTTTAGTTATGAGCAATCATTGATCAAATGAATGCTATTTCCAAACACTCCTCCCAACCAACCTAAAAACCGTACTATGGCTTGACTCCATTTTCCTCTTTAAGGGTTGGTCTTGACCAACTTGACCCTTCCTAGGATCCCTGATCGCGACCATGGAGGTCGGGACATCATAGAGTACTTAACATAGGTAGCAATAGAAAACGACGGAAAATATCAATTTGTAGCGAACTGTCTGTTTAATGTTTTTTGTCGGCTCTCAAGAACATGAGAATACCTGTCATGCAGTCGAGAACAAACAGGACAATATTTAAGTGTCAATTTCATATCCTGTACTAACCAAAGGACCCAGAAACCCCTGGTTTAGCTAAAAATTATTGGTCGGAGGGACACCAGGGGTGTAAAGGCCCTTCAAAGTCCGTGTGGTTGTAGAATCTAGCAGAAGTACAGTTGATCAACGCAGTTCTCGGCCTTGTGGCTTGCCGTTAAATCCGAATCGTTGGCAATCCTGAATGTTCTAGTCTGCTACTTTGCCGCACCTTGGGATGGCAATAAGATTGTCGCACATCGCGAGTGGGTGCTTCGGAGCTTCCCCCCTTTTGGTGACGTTGCAACCAGCAAACCTCAACTCAAGCCGCGTTGAGTAGGGAAGTAGGATTTAATTACGAGAACTTCCGAGAAGCGTAAATAGTTTAGTTCCTTACATATCTTGAATATCCCAGTCTTCGCTGGCTCAGCAAGTGTAGAAAAGTGTTATAGCTTATTTAAGGGAAGGATGGAACCTTGGTACAAAGCCACGATGATTAGATTGAAAGAGTTCGAGCCGCCATCTCATGATTTGATGACAAGTCCACGACCGCTGCATCCTGAAAGCCGATGGAAATGATCGATTGATCACGAGATGCCCATCAGTACCCCACATCCATTTAGCCGCCGTTGTGTGCATATGTGCGGGAGACCGATTTGATGCGTCCTTCAAATGACCGTCCTCCAGTTTTGCGGGATTCGGAGACCGACGCTTCACGCCAAAGCTTTATCCGTAGCGGACATTTCATTCTCCGCCATGACCCCTCAGTTCCCCAACTGCAAGAATCGTACGAGTCATTCAGTTCCGGTCATCCACGGCGGGGTTTGATTGCTCCGGCTGGGAATAATCAATTTTCCAATGGTTGGAGAACGGGGTATGGTGATCAAGGCACACCGTGAGACAGACTTGCTTCTTATGATTTGAGGATGGAAAGCCGAGGAACATCCCTGTCTAGAATTTTCAAAGAAAATGTACCGTCGACTCTTGACTTGAATCTTCCATTTCCCTGACAATGATTGATCCAAAATCAGTTGAGAATGTGTCACAGATTAGGCCAACTAGGCAAAAGGAAATCCTTGCCTAGTTCTCCGTGGTTCACCATTATATAGCACCTGTCATAGAATGTCTTGACAATCTTCATTCCACTCATCCAAGCAAGTTCAACAACACCGTATAAGCTCGGATAATCCGAGCTTACAGAGCAGTGGCAAATCAACCTAGGCCGTTGCTTTGTCCAAGGCCTTGACTACACAATAAGGGTTGAATACCTGTATTTTGTCTTTGGACGACCTCTACTCTGATCACACTAAGCTCCAGGCTCTCTGGGAAGCCAACCCAAGCAACGAGCTTCTACAGCCGCGGGCCTAGCCTGGCGCCCACGACGGGATCCTTGCAGGTGAGCTTTTCAGTAAGATCCAGGCCGTCAATTGCCAAAAAGATCCCAGCGCTTCTATTAGCTGGGAAGCTTACGACAAGAGTCTGCATAATGGGCAAGGGGGAAGAGTTCCTGTGAACGAGTGGGGAAAAGTTCTCATATCTGCCGGCCTAGATCCCTTCATCTTTGAGGGGCGGTGTTTGGGTTTCTAGCCTCGTATAGATGACGAAGTAAAAGCAAAATGGGAGCTTGATAAGACATCAAAAGCGTGGAATGTGAAGGTGCAGAGAATGGAAAGCACTTAGACCCTCGGTAACCACGACCTGAGCCATCTCTTACTCATGAACAAAGATCTGTAGCGGTATTGTGGAAGATTCATCGGCCCACAGCACTTTGACGGCTTTCTACATTTGACTACTACTGGTGCGTTGTTCAACGTCTGTGAGCGGAGACTAGACTAGGAGAGGGCCCTCCGGCGGCATAAGCCGGGCATGATGGACGAGCGTGTGGTGGATTTCGTCAGGGGTTATATGCCCGCGTCCGAGCTTTTCTTAGAGCGCCTCCCAAACGTGAAGCTTTTTGCCGGGAGAAAGGATGGACAAATTGGACAAATTGAGCACATCCAAGTGATCATCCTGAATAAGTGAAGGGAGGGGATGCAGATTAGACATGCAGAGTAACATGTAACTTGATGAATACATGAAGTACCCAATGTCTGACAAATCACGATACTCTCTGGGTACTCTGTGGTTGTATATCTCCCTTTCTCCGTTGCATCAGGCAAGTAATTTCCTCCACATCCAGAGTCATGTGGTCTCCCATGCAGGAAGTAGAGCCCGATTCAAGCCAACCCCAACGTTTGGTGTTCATTTCCCCGCGCTTTGAGTTTAACCTCGCCGACATTTTCTTTCTCATCCCCGGCTTCCCCGCAGCAACGGTTATTTCTTTGTCCGCGAAACTAAAGTTATTGGGTTTAAGCTTGACTCTAGGAAAGTCGAGACGCTTCATTGCTAGATGCAAAGCCTGAGGCGGAATATCAACCCCGGAATCTGGGGGTGATGTTCCGGTGTGGGGTCTCCCTGGCATAGAATATAAGATCCCCCTCGGTCGGCACACAATATTCGAAAGATTTGTTCTAACAGCAGTCTCAATTGCTTTTCTCCTCAACCATAGCATCATTCGACCAATTTACTGCTGCAAATTTCACCTTGTTTGAGAATGGGATTGGACGAGAAGCGAAACAGCGCTGAACGCCCTCATGAGGCTCAGCTTGAGATGACTCCTTCCGCCGGCCTCGAAAAGGGTGGCGTTCTGGGAGAGGAAGCTGACTACTCTGGAGCGGTAAAGAAGTCCGACCCTGAGGAGATTCGTCTTGTTCGAAAGCTGGACTATCGTATTATGCCTACTCTCTGGGCCATGTACTTCCTCAACTACGTGAGTCCTCCCTAATATGAGGGACCTAGTTTGCCGTATTAACTCCGGAGTTCGTAGCTTGACCGCAATGCTATTGCTCAAGCGCGGTTGAATAACCTCGAGAAGCATCTGGGACTTCAAGGAACTCAATACAACACTTGCATCTCCATTCTGTTTGTTGGGTGAGTTCCAAGTCCTTTCTATTATCCAAGTGCAATTTAAATTGACAGCTATAGTTACTTGCTTATGCAAATCCCTTCCAACATGCTCATCTCCACGAAACGCGTTCGTCCTTCGGTCTACATGGCGGTGTGCATGATGGGATGGGCCGTTGTGTCCGCCTGCACGGCACTCGCCAAAAACTACGCCGGTCTTGTTGTCGTTCGATTCTTCCTCGGTATCGCGGAGGCGCCTTTCTATCCGTGAGCCTTCCCTGTTTGAATATCTACATGTTTAGTTGATGTTTCCCCTTTTAGAGGGTTGGGGCTGAGAGGGCGTTGGAGTGGGAGCTTCACTAAGCGCCACCGCTTTTCTTCACCGAGAGGCTAACAATGAATTATAGAGGAGCGCTTTATATGCTATCTATTTTCTATACCCGCAAGGAGATTGCTACACGACTGGCTATCTTGTACTCCGGCAACATCTTCGCCACGTCCTTTTCTGGTCTCATTGCTGCCGCCACGTTCAGCACCATTGACGGCGCCCACGGGCTTCACGGATGGCAGTGGCTTTTTATCATCGAGGGCGTTGTTACATTTGGCGTGGGCTTTATTGGTGCCTTCACACTGGCCGATAGCCCCCTTACCACCTGGTGGTTGACCCCTGAAGAGCGACAACTCGCCCATGACCGGATGGTCAAGGACACTGTTGGCCTTGAAGAAAGCAAGGGAGCCCGTGCCGGATTCAAGCAGGCTATCCGTGACCCTCGTCTTTGGCTCTTCTGCTTCATCCAAAACATGCACCTTTCCGCCTGCTCCTTCAACAACTTCTTCCCCACCGTCGTTGGCTCCCTCGGCTTCAGCAAGACCATTACTCTCGTCCTAACCTGCCCGCCATATCTCGTCTCGGGCTTCTTCGGCTACGGTGCTGGTCTTTTGTCCGGCAAATACAATGAACGCACGTGGCACATTACAGCTTGTATGGGCATGGCGCTGGTGGGCTTCATCATCTCCTGCGCAACGCTAAACACCGCCGCTCGCTACGTTTCCTGCTTCCTCTTCGCCAGTGGCGCGTATGCGGTGAACTCAATGATTCTCGGATGGGTGTCTGCTACGCTGGGGTCCACACCGGAGAAGAAGTCGGTCAGTCTGTCCATCGTCAACGTGGTCGCCAACGCATCATACATCTATACCGCATACCTGTATCCCTCTTCCGATGAACCCAAGTATCTTACTGGAATGGCAAGCAACGCTGCCTTCGCGACCATGACGATCGTATCCACCTGGGCTATGCGTATCTGGCTTGTCAGGGCAAACAAGAAGATGGATCGCGATGGAAACACGGACGCTACTCGCTACGCTTACTAGTCCAACACAGAGCCACTCGTTCGGGAACATTTTCGCACCGGCTGATTAGGTTTGGTGCCTAACTATCGAGTAAAGATCCAAGGGACATTCGTGGCCCAAGTAGCCGCAAGCTGCCGGTAGCCTGTCGATGTCTTCTACTGCTGAAATACGTTATTTAAGCAAGTCATGACAACTCCCATAATAAATTTGTATTATATGAATGACTCCATGTCTCGTCAAATATTGCTCAGGTGATATAGGAGTTACACCGGTGAAATATTTATAATAACAGCACTGAACATTTGTTCACTTGAAAGCTTGCATGCTAAACAGAATCAGCTGACTAGATGGGTGTCTTGACCAATGATTGCATTATTACTGCTGTCCGTATGGATTGTGTGAGTGGCTCGTTACGGCGTGATGTCTACTTGGTGCTACCTAAGAGGTTGCACATAGGCATGAACAAGGTGCCTTGCAAGGCTCAATTCAGTTGACTAACTCGATGCGGAATCTTAAACGATGGACGCTGGTTGATATGTTCATTTACGAGACTGGAACGACTCCAGCCCTGCCAATTTAGCGGTACAACGCAGGGGTGATGCTTACAAGTTGCAACCCAAAGTTCCAAGACCGTAGAGGGAGAATATCTTGGAAGAATGAGTTTTTTATATGTGCTGGATACATCAAAGACACAGACAGATCTCGTTTAATGAGCCGAGAAGAAGCAAAGAATAATTCTGGATTTTTTATGATGCTAGTCTCAACCAAAAGCAAGGGAGACAGCCAAACAGCTTACCAAGTCCCAAGCACAACTCGCAGGATCATCGTCACATCCATGCAGGGCTTGGCAAATGTAACCCCCCAGCATAGCAAACAGCTGCCTACAAAAGTGGTGGCTTCTCTCTCGTCCTTTCATTCACCAAACTCGACTCATTGCCTCAGTCCAGCAAAGAAAAGATGCCTTCAAGCGAGTTTTTCGGCTACACACTCACCAACATTGGCCCTCTGACCGCGACGTTTACGGCCCCATCGTCATGTGCGACTAAAAGTGATATCTTAGTATGGTATTCGCGCCATGACCCGACCCTGACGGCAATAAGAGGAGACAGGTTTCTTGGCCAGGGGTCATGTGTCGACGGAGTGACACCACGGGGCGGTTGTGCACCGTCCGGCGAGGCTATTGACAAAATTATATCGGCATCTCCAACAGCCAGTATCGTTTGGTATCACTCGCCGGGAATCGCCTGTCCTAGTGGCTGGACAACCGCCGGTATTCTAAAAGGCGGTGCAGAACCAACGGGATCAGGTATATTCAGTCAAGAGGCAATCACACCGTGGGGAAACGAGAGTTCTTACCAAGCCATCTTCCTTCCCCAATTGTTCGCAAATGTGCTTGATACTGATGAGACAATGGCTATGTGCTGCCCAAGGTTAGTTTAAATTCATTCTCAATCCTTTTCATACACAGCCGATAGCCATCATCTTGCCACTACCAGACGACTTGACTGACCTTGCGATCTAGTGGCTGGGGAGCCGAGCCGCTTGGTGGATCATGCGCATCCTCAATCGGTAATCTCGGTTCAGTAGCGCAATCGACTGCTTGTTATAAGTACTGGGGAGACTTGGATCTTGACGATGTGTATGTGACATCGTATGCCGGCAAGACGTGGGATCCGCCTCTAAGATCACAACCCCCCATCACCGAAGAACCCAGCACCTCTACGAGGACTTTAGCCAATACTGGAACTGGAACATTTGGTCTTTATTACGAAACGGACAGCGTTTACTTAGCCACGCAAACGGGAGGCTTACTCATGATCTACAAAGAGGCCGAACTAAACGGATCAAAGGGAGAGGATGGGAAAGGGGCAGGAACCGTAACAAGAGTCGGGATTGTCTTACCAATACTTTCTGTGGCGCTCTCCCTGTTCTTGGGTTCAGGATTGGCGCTATGAGTAGACAGTTGTGATAATAATCAAGACCCATTCATTATAAAACTCTCATTTCATTACGTTCTCCCATAGACCTCGGAACAGTGCCTACTCGGGCAACTCGCTAAGTGAGCTTTCCTCCGGCCAGAAGCTCTGATGCAGCCTTCTTCACAGCTTCCATGGCAATAACATGAAGGCTTGGTCCGACGCTGATCCTCGCAACTCCCTTCTCCGCCAACTCAGCTGTGGACAACGCGTCTGGTCTCATCGATGCCTTCACCGCGACCCTACCACCAAGTTTCTCCACGAGTGTTGATACTTCTACATCTCTCAGACCACGCCCTGAGCCGCCCCAGAAGAACACAGTGGTCGCGCCGGCCTCAAGGTATGCTTTTCCACGAGCAACCGCTTCATCCATGAGAGAATCTTGCGGGAGGTAGGCCGAGCTCGGGGGGTAAAAGGCGTCGCACCGAGCATTGAGGACAAAGTCGGGACAACCCGCATCTGCAGCTGCCTTCAGCGCCACCTTCAACCGCGCAACCTGCTCCTCAATACTATAGAACGCGCCTGTTTCTGGATGAGTGTCCTCGATATTGGCTCCCACGGCGCCGGCTTTAATTGCCGCAGTCACAGCCTCGGCGATACGGGAACCGTATCCATCCTGGAGGTCGGTGGAAAGTGGTAGGCCTGCTTGGGCGGCGACGGGCGCAAGCCTAGCGATAGCTTCAAGGTTCTGGTCGTAACTGAGCTGCTCGTCTGGGATTCCCAGGGTCGCTGCAATAGCGTAAGATGCGGTAGCGACGGCCTTCACGGGCCTATTTTCTTCAGAATTGAGAGAAATGAGTGCGTTAAGAGATGAGATGTCCCACACATTTGGAATGATGAGGGGCCGCGAAGGGACATGTAGTTCCTTCAGAGTTTTCGCAGTATTGTTGGAAGCCATTGTCGAGAGAAATTTTCGCTGGATATTGGTGTTAGAACGTTAATATCTTTGAGGATGACCATCCAGGATGATAGATGTATTGCGTGAGTCACGCTGCGTTCACGCTGGAGACATCTAGGGCGTGAATGACACTCTCCCCGCATCATCAACGGCACACGCTAATAATTCCTTGGCAAGTGCTGAATGGCAATTGACAAATTGCAAGCTGAACTATAATTGCCAAGCTATATCCTTTCGTTGCCACTGACGCGCCGCACCAAACCGCGATTATCGGATGCGACGCTTTAGCAACCAAAACGCACGCAATAGCCATTGTTAGGCACTGACACAATGAGAGAAGAATCCATCACAAATGCTCACTGTTCAATTTGAGTCGTATAAATAAAGAAACAGGAGCAAATTTAGAACGGGAGGATTGGATTCAGTATCATCAAGGTCTTAGCAATGTAATTTCATGGTACTCTTGTCTCTTGCTTGTTGTCACATTCACTGTATGATAATATCCCCCCCTCAAGAAAAAAGCCTCTGTTGCAGTGAAATTTTCCAACAATTTGGGGATAGCAGAATGTGACTCTTTATGAGGGAGAGAATCGGGTGTTCTATGCTGGAGGATGACTCGAAGTGCGAATAGGAAATGGCGATTGGGGCCAGCTCGGTGAAGAAGTCTTTAACTTTTTGTCCTTACTACGGCACACATTTTTGTCCCTGGTCTCCATCCAGAAAAGAATGTTTTCAATGAAGCACGTAGCATAAGGGAAAAGCCTCCACATGTTGCGATGAAGTCTCGAGCTTCGATGCTTCTCTTTCGGCCAGTGTACGAAGTGGATGATTCGTTTACCCCAAGAGGGGTCCCTTTTTATTCGTCTGATTAAATCCTTGACTTTCCATATATTCATAGTGCAATTAGGAAGCTGAATCAGTTTGCCATAGAAACTCCCAGTTTGGTTCTGAATTAGAGCATCCATCCTGTCTTCTGGGGGTGACTGGCTTGGCGATATCGTTAAGGCGGTCATACCTGAACGAGCCATGGCTGGACAGGTGGTGAGAGACTATCTATTGCAGCTGGCGCATATCTTCAAATTCCTTAAGCGAGACGCCATACAAAAAGAAAGGGTTTATCTTGATTCGTAAGCTGTGAGGAGTTGTAGCTGAACCTCGACGTATGAGTTGAAAAAGCAAGGAACCGCCCCTGTTGGAAATTACTGCGTCGTCAGCACGGGAAAGATTGCCCCGGGCCTATCTCAGCTTGGTGATAGCGATGTTCAAAGTTTGCTCATTTACCCCGACCTGGCTCCTATATTCTCTTATATATTACTTCCGTTCCTATAAAAGATGATTGAATATGGCAACCAGTAGACTCAAATTCAGCCGCAATACCACCTCGTCTTCATGGTCCCCATATCCAGCTGTAGGTGGGTGGGTTATCTATCGCTTGGGCAGCCTCTTCAGGCCCCCTTAACGAACCGCACATGGCACCGTACCATTGCCAAGGCGGTAGCATCTTCAGGTCTCATCTAGTGCGTGCAACGATCAGCATCCGCGATGCTGCCCAATGTCCGGCTTCGCATTTGGCACCTCGTGCGTCAACCTCCCTCCAACGGATCCGGGCGCCAAAGACCGCCGAGCGAGCAAATACCTCTCGCACATGACCAGACTGACATGGCTACCCTGAAACCTGCTGGCTGCCGTCAGAGCCCAAATGTCACTCTCGGGACCGTACGATTACTGACAGATCACTAAACCCGTAAGCGAGGGGGGAGGGACTGGAGACAAAGCTGCATTCCAGAGGCACAAAGCGATCAACCAGCAGCGACACCGGCCAGTAATATGTTCATCTTTGTCCCAGCCGTCCGTGCCCGTCAATGGCGCGCTTGCTTTACAGCTGGACATGCTCGCTGCGGCACGTAAAACATGCCACACGCCGCATGAACCCAACGCAGGTTTAGGGCCGCGAGCCCACCAACTGCAGGAGATGAAACCAGATCATGCAGGGGGCTGCCATTTTTTTTGTGGTGGTGTCGCCACTCCGGCTTACTCTGCACCCACGATAAACTCAGTTGATGGTGTGTTGGACAAAATGTTTCTTACTCCCGCTTCTTTGGGGTTGATAGTCCCCGTGGTGTGTCCATGTATATGAGGGAATTTGCCCTTCTCCAGCACTGTCGAGGGATTGATTGCACGGCAGCCGTAATAGACATTTTGCAATCATGCCTGGGCCGGAATATCCTCGCAGCAGTGAGAACATGGTCCTCATTTGGGGTGCGGCCGGCACGGGGAAATCTGCCTTTGTCCAGCGAGCTTGCTACGACGTGTTCCCCCCAGAAGTAAGCAAATTGATGAGATTGGTGTCCCCGCCACGAAGCATCCCGACATCCAAGACTGGCCCGGCTAACCTGCGATGCAAATGGACAGCTCGACCCGTTCGACGGTGAGGGGGACCGCAAGCTGGCCGTGGTGGACGGCGAGTCCCGCGCGCTCTGGATATTCTGCGTGAGCAACATGGCCGCGACGGGCATGGTGGAGAGCTTCATCAGGCGGAGCGACATGTTCGTGCTGGCCTACAGTGTGGGATCGGACGATTCTTTCTTCCAGATGAATAGGGCATACTATCTAATACGGGAGGTGAGGGGTCTCTTGGGTTCAGAGCATGTCCCAATAATAATAATCGGCAACAAGTGCGACCTTCCCTCGACGAGGAGGGCTTTGCCTGGAGGGAGGCGGCGGGGCTACGGGTCATCTTCCCACGACGATGTCAGAGTTGTGTCCTATGAGGAGGGTGCCTGTTTAGCTGAGCAGCTGGGATGCCCGTTTTTTGAAACCTCGGCCAAGGAGAACATCAATGTCGAACAAACATTTAATGAACTGATCAGGGCGCACAATAGGCTGGGGGACCTACGAACAGAGACAAAAAGAAGGTCTTGTAGAGTACCGCCCAACAGCATTTCACTACCTACGTGTACAATGCCCACGCTGCCTATGGATGTCGAAGGGGGGAAAGAACGGTGGCGAAGGGCCATTAGAAAAGTCATACAAAGTAGAAGAGTGATACAAAGAGGAATGACAAGATACTGAGTTTCATTCGGTCTGTGGACACCTTGATGTTCCGTAAGAGCGAACTAAAGCGTTCACAATGCACTTGAAGATAAGGCCGTTCTTTGATGATTTGCTTGAAAGACTTTCCTAACTTTTAACGTGATGAGGTTCAAGTCAGGTACAATACCATAGCTGTTCTTGAACGCTCGCTTTGATCATATTCGTGGTGTGGCTGAGCCAATACTTGTACTTTGGTCATTTTCGCTTAGGTGCTCTTCAAAGAGCACCTTTCTGCGAATATGAAATTACCAAGAACCTTCGTCACTATTTTAACTACTGTGCTAGGCGGAAACCTGAACACGTTCCTTATAAGCCTACTTGGACGTCCGCCCCTCTGCAAGTTACAACTCCAAAGCATCTGGCAAACCTCCAATCAATACAATCATCTATCTTCAGCAACTCCATCACTTTCCAAATATGCAGACCAGTAATTCCACATTTCCCCGGCTTCTTGCGAGGTTTCAAGGCTGCGAGGACGGTGATTGCGTGGTGAAATGTCGGGGTGCAGAGTTCAAGGTCCACCGGAGCACTCTGCGCGAGCATTCCCCGATCCTCGACGCATACATTGCTTGCTGCGATAAGAAGGACGAGAAAGTGGTTTTGGAGCTTCACAATTTCAGCGTGCAGACTGTCCAAGCATTGCTGGAGTTTATGTATTGCGCCAACTATTCACTCGGCCGGGATACCATCAAAGACCTGGAACCCGAATGCGGATCAGGACCGGAAGTAATGGGGACCGGAGCATATTGGGATGCTGTAACCGCCATTGGACAAAAGAATCTTCTAGCCGCTTGCAAATTTCACATTAGAGTGGGAATCGCCGCGCGATACTACCAGATGAACTCCCTCGACGATCTCTCCGGACGGAAATTCGAGTCCTCCTTGTCTGGGGTTCAAGTCGACGGCTTGGCTGTAGTGGTACAGAACGCTGATCGACTGATAGTTGACGTGGAGACGCAGCGCATGGTTGCTGGAGCAGTTGCAGGAGCAATTCAGAAGGAGGACAACAAGCATCATCTCGAGAATCTCAAGATGACGAAGGGATTCAGAGGACTAGTTGCTGAGCACCTCGAGTGTTGGCGGAAAGCTGATGAAGCCGTCTTAAAGAGGCTGCGGGAACCTCGGTCAGCAAGCGAACGGCGGCAGTACCGCTATGAACACCGGCACTCTCTGGACAGGTGAAATAGCAAGGCACGAAAGTTTTGGTTGTTAGTTGGATGAGAGATAGATGATACAAGGCTTTCTTCCATTCACCGATGTTCTAGTATTATTATAATTATCATTACATGACCACATGTGCATGTCATATCATCGTAAATCGCTACGCTAATTCAATAAAGATCAGTCCAGCCCATCATCGCAGGTTATACGTCTCCGATCCCATCTTATTCCTGTAGACCTGCTCTGCAACTTCCCCCGTCATAACGGGCGAGTCTACAATGTAGCACTGCCCAACAAGTTGATAGTGATCCTGCATCTTGCGCACCACGAATGGCAGCGGTGCCCCATAGAAGACCACTATCTTGTCCTCTGCCCTGCTTCCCTTGGGACCCAACCCAAGGCGTCCATGTTTCGTGAGGAAGACTCGCCGAGCATTCGCGTATTTGACCACTCCAGCAAAGAACTGGGCAGCGTCTCCGTAGAGCGGTGGAACTGGTTCACCTTCTGATCTTGCCGGCCCCAAGCGATCAAGGAAAGCCCGGGCTTGCCGTCCGTCATCAATACGGCATTCAACATACTGCTGGACGATGTTATCGGGGTCTGAGACTGGGAGTATACCAACGGGAGGGGCATCTGGCAGGCCACCAGCAGAGAGTGCTTCGCAGAAAGCTACATCCAGGGGCCCACTATCTCGATATTGCTGTCCAGATGGATCCGCCAGAGAGGAAGAAAAGAAGCGCGACCAGGTCTGCTCCATCAGCAAGATATTTGCCTCCTGAGTGCCTATTTCAAAAGACAGGACATCAGAGACAGATTCGATATTGTCCACCCAAAATCCATCAAGGGATAGTTGGAGCGGGTTCTTCGGTGATCCCTTGCTCGGGTTATCGTGAACTCGAGCACATGGGCTTCGGCCGGTGACAAGACCTGCGCGGAAATAGCTATGGATCACGCTGCTCCCTCTCATTTCAAACCACTTCGGTACCCAGGTGGGATAGCTGTCAGGTTCAGAATCATTATGATCCACAAGGTTGAGGACATCCAGGTCACCTGGTGGTCTATGGATCAGAAACCTCGTCAGGTCAACATACGTCTGTACATCCGACTTGTGGTAATCGGCCGCAAGAGCCGGGATATGATAGCTCCCCATCTTCCTTCCCGGCCATTTCGCGCCTACGTGTGACAATAACTGGAGGCCTCTATACGCAGTTCGGCGAAGAAGCGGCCCCGTGCGCGTGAGTGTGGCGATTGGATCCAGACCTTCATCACAGATTCCTCGCAGACCAAACACCCTGTCACGCACATCATCCGAATGGAAGCAACGCATCGTCTCCAGCAGCTCGAGGGCGCTGCCCATGGAGCCAGGGACATGGGACTGAGGCATACCAGGTTCAGGCCGGTTTGCCCACACTTTCCACCAGACCTCGAGCGGGGAGTCCTGCTGCGGCGTAGCATTTGCTTGCGCAACCGAGGACAGCGAGGGGCCAATATCATTGAACGAGATTTCAAGGTCTCCGCTCTTGACGATGACGTCGGCAGCCGCCATGACCTCCACGACGCACCAGTAGTGTGTGAAATAGGGTCGCCGGAACATCTCGTGCAGCTGGTGCAGGTTGTCGGGGGACAGGCCGTGCAGGAAAACCTCCCTCACCTCTTCCCGGGACTCGCTATCGACAGGGACCTCGCTGAGCCGGTCTTGCTCGTCCTCGACCTCGCGGATCCTCGCTAACCGCTGGGCCAGCTCAAAGGCGAGATCCATGCCCTCCGTCTTGGGGCCGAGCCAGGCGATGACGCGAGAGGCCTGTTTGTAGATGACGCTCATGTCGCGGACCTGCCGCGAGTGCTCATCGACGTCATCCTTGTTTATGCAGAGGGCATCCACCCACAATGCACGCGGCTGTTCAGGATCACGCAGGGCGAGCAGCGCAGTTTCGAGGTTCGGCCGGATGGGGACCGCGTGGTTCCGGATCCATAGAAAGGCGCTGGGGTCGTTGGCGATGCCTGGGTGGTGAGATAGCGCTTCATAGGTGAACGGTGGCGATGTGATGTCAACGGTTTGGAGGTGCCCTTTGAGAGGATCATCGCCTGATCCGGCATCTAGATGGAACACGCGGGTGAAGAGGCGTGATCGCTCCGGGGAGGGAAGCGCCTGGAAATAAGCCATGGCAGGCTTTTTTCGAGTCTGAGCAGGAGTGGAACGAGCGCGGGGACGTAGGAAATAGTCAACGAGGTCGAAGGTATCCGGAATTACATGGACGTGATTAGCAGCGGTGGAGGACGCCATGATGCTATATATTATCAAAGACCATGATATGATATGTACGGAGTGTGTACGGAGCAGTATGTACACACAAAGCAGAAGCAAGCAAATCTAAGCAGGGCTGTTTCAGAATGTCGTCGTAATTGTCCCCTCCTGACGGGAGATGAGCACAATGGTCCGCGGGCGGCGCAAGGCAGCTCGTCCACGGCCCCAGGTATTACGATCGCCAGCCTATGTTTAGATGTCGGCAGGCAGGATGACGTAGCGGGGAAGAGACGGGAGTCAGTCCAGGAGGCGGCTGGCAGTGGTTATGCGAGGACCAGGACCAGCCCATGCAAACAGCAAGACATTGAACACGAGACTGCGGGTGGGTTCTTGATGGGTTTGGTGAGATTTGGCGGCAGTTGATTTCAATTTGCGTTGCGTGGTCCGTGTGTGGCGCAGTTCGTGCGTGGGGCGGAGTCTTCCTCCCGCTGGCTGTCCACTGGCTGCCCGCTGGCTCCAGGCCTCTTGAGCCCACCGACAGCAGGCTGCGGCCCTACGAACACGCTATTATTAGAGCACGTCCACTGAAGGCGGCAGGTCACGGGACCAGCGCTGTGGGTTGCTCCGGCCTCCGCGCAATAATCCTTCAACCAACATGCCTTTATCTTCTGCCCATGTATGCCTGCACTTCTGCGATACGAGGTCAGCCTCTTCGCGATGCTAATTTCGCATCCCACGAAATAGAATTGGAAGGTTAGATGGAACCGGATGAACTGGGATGAGAGGGAATGGGAAGCGGCTGAGGCTGGCAGCTGGCAGCAGGTAGTATTTTGTCGTGGCGCAGACTTCACTACCCTATACTTCTTCCACCAATCAGTATGATCTTGCCTCGGTTATGGTCTCACTCTCGCTCGGTTGGTAATTAGGCAAAATGTTCACGATATCTCGATGTGGTCAGTGCTTAGATTCTAGTTCGTTACCCCAGCTATTAATCTATCTTTAGTTTCCATCCGCAGCCTCCATCGTTCACGAGCTTCGCCTTCCACGAGGGATCCACAAAGGTCTGGATCCCGACTACGTCCTTCGATTCCCCATTTTCTCTATGCTGCAAGGCAAAGAGCTCTGCTGTGTTGGCACTCTTCACGATGCCGACTTCCAATATTGCTGTGTGGATCATGACCGATACGAGAAATATAATGGTGATGCCGATTTGTGCGGCCAGGAATGCCATCCAGCCCCAGCGGATCTCCACATACTGCTGGAGATCCATGATATCTCCAGTCATGCCGCCCAACTGGTCGTTTGTCCTGATACTAGATACATCAGTCAGCTCATGCACCTCGATTGACACAGCCGAAATCGCGTCTTCCAAGGACTTACTAAGATGTCATGGCGTCCGCTATCCTTGTGGTGAAGTGTTCCAGGTTATCCCAAGTTTTCCTGTCGAACTCTTCGCTGGAGGTGTTTCTGTTGATTTCATTATACAGAGCCATCCCGAATCTTCTATTGAATATAGATGCCCTGCCGCTTTGCCAGCTAGAGGACCACCCCCCTGAGAAGGCCTGTCGAAAGTAGTCTGGAAGTTTGTCATACGACCAGACCGCTGTAATGTTGAAGGTCTGGCTGCTGTCCTGGTTCTCCAGAGTGAAGGAATTACCATTGCCTCCTGTTGGCGAGAATCTCTCAATGTCTCCAATTCGGGTTGTTGTATTTGTTACGGTGGTTCTGGCAGTGCCGTCTGCAACTGAAACAGAGTATTCCTTGACGCAGAAATGATAAAGGAGTTCCACGGCCCTGTATCTATACTTTTCGTCTGGATTATAGTTGCTGTAGACGAAGAAGAACTGGGAAAATGTAGCCCGAAGCAAGTCTGGGTTGCTGGCATTGGCGAATGAGATCCGTTCATCGGGAAATGGCGCGTCAGGCAAATCTTCAAGGCTCAATTGAGATTGACTCATATTCGCCAACAGGGCGTTGTATTTCAAGTTGGTTCCTGGAGATGTCATGTTGACAATCTCCCGGATGGCCTCGTTGTCGTCTACGGAGTGTTTGACATAGGCGATGTTGTTTGGTAAAGAAGCATTGAATACGGTCTCTGAATTTGACGAGTTCGCTTTCTTGATGGAGAGACGGCTGGTCACGTTGGCCATGCTAACACACACAGCCAGCGAGCTAAACGGCTCCCAACTGCAACCAGACGAGGAACAGACAGGCCCGGGCGCGGGCCAAGAGTTGTTAAAGGGGAGAAATGTTGCTTGATATGCCGAGTTGGTAATGGCGTCTAGAAGATCCTGGTCTGTTTTGGTTGATGACTTGTTAAACATCATCCAAATTTGCTTCATTTCCTAGAAACACGTACCTCCAATACCCGATTCCCTCAGAGCCATGGGATATGATCGGGCTGCTCCCGCATTGCAGTTCTCTCTTGTCCCTTGCACGCTCTGGTAGCGATAGGCAATTGCAGATTGTGTGAGGAAAGAAGTGACCAGGCCCAATGCGTAAATCAGGGTTGCAAGCACCATAAGAAGTATAAACCTGAGAAAGCCACTCATGTTTAGCCATAGATTAGGGCACGGAACAGATAATGGAGGAACTTACCTCCCCCTTGTTTTGGGAAGCAGACGCAACGCGCCAAGCGGCCCACGGCTAGCCTGATCAAATAAATATAGTTCCCTGAGAGATCGCTGTTTCGTAGCAAACCAATTCCACTTCAACTGAGAGACACCTTCGATAATTGGCACCAGTGTCATGGCTCGGCAGATAGTGGCCAGAAACGCAACCAGCGTATTGAGCGTGAGCCCCATTGGCCAGTTCGGCATGTGCTTGCTATCGTACCGCGAAAGAACCACAACAAGCACGACGAAGATGACGAAGATGAGCAGACACCAAACCAGCTCCTCTATCCATGCCCGTACATGCGCCCAGAAGCCGGAGGGGCTCTTCGGCTGCACTGGTGCCTCATAGTCGCCGTATGTGGTGAACCCAGCTTCCACCTGTTTGTCAGCGTTAAAGTCTGGCAGGCGGGAATGTCGAGCGCTTATGGGCGAGACCCTGGGATCAACCGAGCCTCTGTCGCTCTCTGCACGTGAAGTTACTGGTGACACTGGCTGCAAGCTTTGCCTTGGCTTCGAGAGTCGCGCATTGGCCGTTGTCATTGGAGATATTGGCTCCAGATGCAAGTCCCGCGTTTGGTTCGGCTGATAATATGAGTGTGGAACCAGTCCGTCCTCGTCCTCCGCCCGATATGCCATTTGACTGCTGCTTCCCGCCATTTCGGTCTCTTCCGGGGGCGAGATTAATCAATCATTCAACCCCTCCCTCGTGGCATTCAGACCCCCGAGTTCGTGATACGTCGGCCAGCGAGCGAGGAAACATTGAATCTAGAAAGGAACGAGAACGGGAAGAAGAAAAGTGGTGAGCATTTGTTCAAAACTGAAACACTCGTCACGTTTGGGCAATCTATTCTAGGCGCTATCCGTGATAATCTCTGCGCGGGCTTGAAGGAACGCTGAGCTGACCTCCATCACACCCCACCCAGGCCAAATCCCCTGGTCTTTCTGTGCAGAATAGGGTTGCGGTCGAACCTTGACCAATTGGAAAGGGAAAGTTTGATTCACATCCTAATTTCCACCAGCTGTTTCTGACGATCTGCTCTGTCGTGGAATCCCACGGGGGCGACATGGGTTCGTTTTTCTCTAGCTACCGGTCTACAATGCCAACTCTGCAGAAGCAGATGGCGATTTGAGCTACTTGAAATCATAGAACTTCCATTTGGTCTTGAAATCCGGCTTCAGTTCGTCGCCCATGATCAGGGCCTTGACCATTTCGACAGGCAACATGGCCATCTTCAGGATGGCATCATGATACTCCTTCTGCGTCAGGTCTCCCGTGTCCACCACCAGCTCCCTGAGTTTCCACAGCTGCAGCGCTCCCAGCATGTACCCGGCCTGGTACAGAGGTGGGTAGCTGCCCTCGACAGAACGTCTCACCTCGCCCTCGGCGTTGCTTCGCTCGTGGTTGATCCTGTCCACCAGGAGGTCGACGGCCTCCTGCGCCGTCATCTGGCCCATGTGGAACTTGAGCGAGAAGATGATGCGGAGACATCGATGCATCCTCCACCACAGCGCGCCGATCCGCCCTTCAGGCGTGGTATGGAAGTCGTCGCGCTCGTAGAACAGCATCTCCCAGTACAGAGCCCAGCCCTCGACGAAGAAGGGCGTGTCGAAGAGCTCCCTCCGGTGGGAGTTGTACCGGTCTGCCATGTACAGCTGCAGGCGGTGGCCGGGGAACATCTCGTGGAACGCCGTCGCGCGGGCGAAGTGCCTGTTGTTGCCTCGCATCACCATGAGCTTCATGTCGTGCTCCATCTCGACCACGGGGTACGAGACCCAGATGGTGGGACCGCCGAGGAAGAACGGCGAGACCTTTTGGCGCTCTGCCCCGATCATGGTCATGCGCCAGGTTGAATTGGCCAGCGGCGGGACAGTGACCAGATCTCTCTCCGTGATGAAGTTGCTGCCCTCGGCGACGAGCTCGCGCACCAGCTCCGTTTGCTTGCCGGGCTCCACGTAGTCGTTCTTGACTTGCTCGAGTGCCTTCTTCCAGTCGTCGCCGTAGCCGAGCGCCTGTGACTGTTTGATCATTTCCTTCTCGCACCACTCGAATTCCTGGTTGCCAATCTCGATGATTTCTTCTGGGGTGTAGGGGATCATCTCGGCTTGAAGCTCAACCTCGACACCAGCCCGGCCAATTGGCTCTCCGACGATGGCATCCTGCCCACCGTCGTTACTGACTCCCGCGAGCTTTGTCTGCACGGTGGTATGATATTTGGTGAGGGCGTCAAAGAGTGTTTGCCAGGGCGTTGTCGCCCAAAAGTCAAAGAGCGGATCATAGGTGGCGTAGAATTTGAACCATTCTTGCAGCAATGTCAGAAGCTGTTTGATTGCTTGGGAGGCCAGATATCCAGTGGTTTCTGAGACGTCGAAGCCACCTCCCTCGACCTTTGCCTGGACCTCGATAACAGATTTGGTAATCTCGTT